CGGGGCGAGTGGGAGCCGCGTTTGGCCGGGACCGAGTCGGCCTCAGGTCTCGGCACCCACCGAGGGGCCGCCCAGCTCCCCCGGAGTCTTCGTGCCCCTTTGGGGTTACATCGCGGCGGGGAGTCACTCAGGATGCTCCTTTTTGAAAGTCTTTTGCCTTTCCCGGTATTGGTAGGGGGAAAATGTGTAATTAATCAAATGAAGGAAAAAATACTTTAGGGAAAGAGAACCTCTAATATAAATGAACTTTGATTATTCATTGCAACTCATTTAAGATTCTTCTTCCTTGGCACCAGTTTCTGAAAGTATCTTATTCTTATTTATTTTTTCCCTGGTACCGGGGATCGAACTCAGGACCTTGCCCTTGCGAGGCAGGCGCGGCACCATTGAGCTAAATCCCCGGCCCTGTATCTTACATTTTGACTGATGCTTCTGAGGAATAATTGTTTTTCCTGAGAAATAATTTTAAGAAACATCAGTGCAATTCTTGTTTTACCCACAACTCACCTAAAGAACCATGATCAAATCACAACAGTTTCTTTTCAATCCAGTTTTCCTCATTAGTTTTTGATACAATGCACTTTTTATAGATTTAAATTCATTTTCAATTGAAATGTAGTGAGTAGCAATTATTTCTGTGCACCTTAAAATGGAATTTGTGCTATTTTTGAAAATTTGACATGTAAGGCTGATCCTTGTCAAAATGTATGTCATCCTGAGCTGACTATATTTAGCATCAACAAAGGAATGCATTATCTAGGTTTCTGAACGGTATTTTTCTCCTGAAATTTCTCTTGAAGTATTTAGGTTAGCATTTCATCTGTGAGCAAAATGAAAACTAAATATATATAGATTTGGAAGAGATTGGGGATTTAGGTTGCTTAGAACCCAAGTGGCCTGAAATGGTATACGTGCTTCATCAATGAAAAAAACCTACTTCATATCTTTGAAACACCCTACAGGAATACAAAGTGTTGCTGAAATAATCACGTGAGAGCTTTACGTGCCTAAAAAGAGAAAATACAGTGAATATAGAAAAGTGCATAGCAGACAGGCCGCTCTAAAAGAGCAGCAGGAAAGAGGGCTTTGGGTGTATTTTGTGATTATGTGGCCCCCCACACACAGCGTGGTAGTTTGTAATTCAGAGGGAAAAATGACTTTCAACATTTGCAACGATTTTATTTCTGCTTCCGTTTCATCCCTTGTGTAGCTGCTGCCAGGTTTTCTGGTTTTGTAACGTATGCCACAGGCCTCGCACACACTTGAGAGGGTTACTGGGATTCAAGCACAAGGCGTAGTTGCTGGTGACCTTGGCCCCGGGGCAGCTGCAGGGCCACCCCGGGGAGTCCACCTCCCCTTTTCCGTGGCTGGATGGCCACATCTTCGCGACTGTGTTTTATTTAGGGTTTAAGCCGTGGATACTAGAGAAGGTGCTCTCCTTT